AAAGAGAGTGTGAGTAGAACTTTGGTGAATCATTTCAGTAAGGTAAAATCTGACTACACTATTCAAACAAGAATCAAAAACTAATCTAAAACCAACCAAAATAAAAATATAAATTGTAATTTCAAGGCGTTCGACTAATGATATCAGCAAAATTTAGTTCAATACCGTCACTTTTCTACAACAGTTTGATAGTGTCTGATTATCACTAAAGTTGGTAAGCTGTTTCCTCTAAAGAACCTTTACATTCTATAATTTTTAGAATATACTTTCAACAGTTGAATTCTAGCCCACAAAGAAAAAATATTGCTAAGTAAATGAACGGAAAAACACAAATTAAAGAAGGAGTGAACTTTAAAACCGTACAAGTCCAGAAGATAGGACAAAGTTTAATAAAAACAGAATGGTGCACTGAGTCAGGAAAAAATATTTCATCACTATTATTAGCCAACCCCCTTTTTGAAAAAGACAAATAACGTCCCCAATGCTGTTTCAGATCATCAACGTGTTTGCTATATAATTCGTTATTTTCCCTCTGAAAACTCTAAAATAATGCATAAAATAAATTTCTTAACTGGGCTCAAGCAGATGCCTATCAACGGAAAACGTCCTCACTCGTCACCGTACGTAAGCGCTGCCGCAGTAGCGCGAAGAGTGGGGGAGCGCGCTGCCGAGCGGCGAATTTCTCATACCTGGCTGGGCCTACGAGCATTTGTAAATACGCCCCCCGGTCAGACGGACTCAAAACCACGCCTGCGCAACCGCGACCTCTTTGCGGGTCCTTGCCTCGCAGGACTCGTTTGAAGGTTCGTTATCTTGGGCCAAAACAAAAATCGGAAACCCGGTCGGTGATTTTTCTTAAAGTATTTTTACTACAACTTATATTACTATAATTTGGAAGACGAGGGACCACTTTTCACTAGAACTATATTAAGAAACAACAAAAATTACAATTTCCAAATATATTTTGAAATGAGTGGGTCAAACATTTGAGAAATTTCCCCAAAGGTTGGAATTTTTGGAAAATAATGATTCCCAACTGTTTGAACTTCAAGTTTTTAAAAGTTCGGGTCTCAAACGATTTTTTTTTACAGTGCACTAGTTTTCGGAAACTAACGGCCGTTTCGCTGTTCCGACCCAAGCCACCTTGCTCAATAAAATAGCCAAAAACTGGGTCGAATAGTAAATACGGGCACGAATGTGGTACTCAAACTCAAAGGGCGCGCTGCAATGGGTGTATTGTAGAAAAACAGAAAACGGCAGACAGAAAGCCCCCCCCCCCCTCCCCAACCTCTGGTTCACTGACTGGAAGAGTGGCGGGAGTACGTAAACAGGACCCCAAACGCGTCCCAGCGTAACAGGTGTCTATAGCGAAGCCTGTTACGCGAGCCTTGTACGCGTAAAACTACCGTGTTTGTTTACAGTCTAAAGAATATGAGTGACATACCTGTCCTTCTGGAGCTGCAGCTGCACGCGCAGCGCCGTTCACCAGTTCGATGCATTTCTTGGCATGGTTGGTCAGAGCAGTTGTAGGATTCCGGTTCTTTCCCGTCTTTCCCTTTTCCGCGTCCCACCGATGAATCGTAGCACAATACTTGCATTTAACGAAACCCTTGTGAACGCCGAACTTGTCTTGAACGTCACCAAACACAGACCACCCAATACTAAACTTAACTTTTCTAGGGGGTTTCCTCATTTTCACAACCCAGTCCTTACCGTCGAGTTTGGCTAGAACAGTTTTTACCTCGTCGTTTGTTAGTTTCTTTCCTACGGTGGTCGCGTTCCCCTCCCCCGCAACTCCCGCACCCTCACCCCCACCCACCCTCAGCCCCATTTTCCATTTTAATAACTCAACACTTCACTTGCACAGCACCAACTGATGACCACAAACGAACACGACCACACACACGCACACACACTAACAACCCGACGCGACGCTCTCGCTCCAGGCTCCAGTCCGCACTCGCACTGCACTCGTTTCCCTCAGCTGACTTCAGGCAGGCTTGGCTTGGCTGACCCGGCACGGCACGGCCCGATTGATTGACTGCACTAGTCATTGCTACTACTACCGCCTCCGCAACCGGCACCCTGACTTCCCCGTCCCCTTCCCTTTCGCCACTCCCCCTTTCTGAGCGGTGCGGTATTGGGATGGAGGAGGAGCAGGTGCGGGGCGCGCGGGGCGGGGGGCGCTACAATGGAAGTAGCGACCAGGGTGACAAGTGTCCGAATCGCGCGCCCCCCTTTCCACCTGCCGGTGCAGCGAGGCTGTGCGAGCCTCGCAGACGACGCGAGCCTCGCACAGCGTCGTCAAAAGAAGGTGGCAGCGGGTGGCACCAGGGCGCGAAGCAAAGCTGCCTCGCGCTGCCTCGCAGCTTGGCGAGGCACGGCGGGCACGGCTGCCTCGTGCTGCATAGGACAGCTGGATCCCGAAAGAATCCGAAGCTGCGGGCAGCTAGCCGAAGAGGCTGCCTCGCGGCTAATTCTGCGAGGCAACGCGAGGCAGAATTCTGCCTCGCGTGCACACCTCTGGTTGAAGATGACCGTGAGCTGCGCACGGGTCAGTTTCTTGATGGTGCCAATGGGAAGGCCGCAGACTGGCAGAAAAGTGGGCATGGGCAATACCAACAAGTCTGGTCCCCAGTGGAAAGATGTAAGTGAATTGTGTAACATGTACGTATTCTGTATTTCACAAAATTTTTATTGATCAACTTTTCACTCAACGGGCTTTTTATGGACTGCGCTACTGCGCTCGAGGGCTCGACAGCATTATGCAGATCCGAGGGGTCCGCAAGTACGGTCTGCCGGTGTACACATGTGGCGGGGTTCCTAGTTTTCCCAGGTTTTCCTAAAGTTTTTCCGGTCTTCCAAACTTTTTATTGGTTTTCCCAATATCTTGGTTTTCTGAAATTTTCTAAAGGCTTCCTCCAGTTTCTGCGGTTTTCTCGCATTTTCATCGGTCTTCTCTTACATTTTCTGGTCTTCCTTGCAATTTCTAGGTCTTTCCTAAAGTTTTTCCGGTCTTACCTTATATTTTTCGGTTTTCCGTCACATTTGTGGCCTACGATTTTATTGGTCTTCTTCGTTTTTCTTTAGTCTTTCTTTAGTCTTTCGTGGTCTTCCCGGTCTTCCCAGTTTTCCGGGCGGCCAGTGTACGCGCTCGAACCTAGTTGCGGACCCCTCGTGCAGATCAAGTGTCTTACATGAGGGGAACGGGTGGGGGTGAAAGCCCTGAAGTTGGAGATGTGGTGCCGAGTGCCATCTATGCCCAGTGCCTCCGAAGTTGTGGTACTGTTACTGCCATTGGAAATACGTCTGTCTCAACGTCTTTAATTGTAAGTTTACTTGTACTTTCACTGTTGATGAAACTTGCGTATGACATTTTTGAGGGCTTTTATTGAACAGTTCTGTCGTTTGTTTTCAGACTCAGAGACGCTCAGACCAGAGGGAGAGGGCTCCATCACAGAGGCCTGCCACCCCCCGCAGTGGTGGCAGTTACCCCACAGCACCAGGGATTTCCAGCAATGGTGCAAGAACTCCCAGTGGCTTTAGAGGAGTGAGCACCTCCCATGTTTTCCATGATGGGCCTGTCTCCTTGAATGGCTTCAATGGTGCTTCTAGCACTTCTATCACTTCTAGAAGTGCAGTTAGAAGTACCGCTAATAGTGGCGCAGGGCCTTCAAGCAGCAGAGGCTTCAGTAGTGGCGCTGGGCCTTCAGGCAGGGGCTTCAGTAGTGGCGCTGGAACTTCAAGCAATGGTTTCAGTAGTAGCGCTGCATCTTCCAGCAGTGGCTTCAGTAGTGGCGCTGGTCCTTCAAGTGGTGGTTTCAGTAACTTCAATGGTGCCTCCACTGGTGGCGCTGGACCCTCCAGTGCGTTCAATGGTGAAGCTGGGTCATTCATTGATGGCCCTGACTTGTCAAATGGCAGTTTCCCTCCTGTGACCCATACTCTCAAGGGCAGTCGAAGTCACTCACTGCTTCGCACACCTGGCTTCAGCCCAGCCAGAAAAAAGTTGAACTACTCTGCCCCACCTGAACCTCCCTCATGGTAAGTGTACGATACCTGCACATGTTTACAGTATCACAATCTTGAAAGAACTAATTGAAATATTTTTTATTCTAGATCTAGCCATGCTGGAAAATCTGCAAGTTTTGCAAGTCACTCTAGGAGATGTGTTGCCTACACTATCAGATTTGACCAGCTCCCTCAAAGAGCTACGCTTATATACAAACTTACTTGTATACAAACTTACTGTCAATGTTTTTTCACCCAGGATAGAAGTACACACTTGAGACATCCTTAAAGTTCAGTTCATTTCATTCTCATATTGTTAATTTGTTAAGCCATCGTTTGTGTTAAGAAATATAACGTTAAGTTCCATCCCTACACCTACAGTGGCTCAGAAACTAATTTTATTAAAAAATGTACCAAAAATGCTTTTTGGGAGATAGTCCCTTTAACAAAGATATTTTTTGATTCGAGAATAAGTTAATACAATATGACTCCTGTCACAGCTAGTTGATGTTTGAAAACAATATTGCTTGCTCTGCTTTTGCAGAAATAATTATACCCCAAGTTGCGATGCTGTCTGAAATATTGTTCGGTCACTTCCAGGATCATTACTCCTGTTAAAATAACTTGCGTGTTGAATAACCCAGTTGACATTTCCTATTAAAAGATTGGGAAACTACCAGTCATTCTGTAAGTGAACAGCATTAAATTTTGGTTAATTAGACTAAGTTACCAAATTTGAATATTTCACAAGTTTCAAAATTTAAGTTTTAATTATTGATTTGGGTTTATCGTGCAAATTAAAATGGAAATGTCTTATACTCGGAGTTGATCAGAGTCGAAAGGACAAAGTTATTGGACCCTAAACTGACAAAAAGTGCCAAAAACGAACAAATTTCCAATTTCGGGAGGAATAACTCTGTCAATCATCCTTGGGCATAAAATGTTTTCGTTTTCTTCTGTCAAGAGGAGCCCGACACAATGGTTACTTTTATACATTTCTCCCGATACAGTACCGCCCCTTGTCACGGTACCCGTTCCAAGCGCCGGTCAGTCAGGCAACCCTTCGCACATCACTCCCCCCCCCCCCCCCCC